CGACACATAATGATTTTTTCATAACGATAGTGTACATTGTGCCTACTTTTGACATACCGCAGTTCAAGAACATTTGATGAAGTGAATAGATCACCTTCAAGCCTGTACATACTGATCCTCTCACCTTACTTTATGACATCCTTGGCATTTGTAGGAGAGACCCAATCAGTTGCATAAAAACGTTTCCAAGACACGGTATCCACTTCTTCTTTCCAATATCACTATCAGCTTACATGATTTTATGTCAATAAACAGAAAACGTATTGAGTGACCTGATACAAGTTTGATCCACAAGGAGATTTCATGGAGGAACACAACGTGTATATACCAGAGTGTGACACACTGTATCCACTTGTACTTTCCAATATCACTCAGCTTACATGAATTTTGATAAAAGAAAATAAAGATGCTTATTTGAGTGACTTGGTACAAGTCTGTCCTCCCCAAAGGTGACCAACTCACTCAGTCACTCAGTCACTCACTCACTCACTCACTCACTCACTCACTCGTCCACCCACTCGTCTACTCACTCACTCGTCTTCTCACTCACTCGTCCACTCACTCGTCCACTCATTCGTCAACTCACTCACTCACTCACTCACTCACTCACTCACTCACTCACTCACTCGTCCACTCACTCACTCACTCACTCACTCACTCACTCACTCTATACAATATGTTTTGACCAGCCAGCACGACCTGCTATGACTTCTGACAATATGTTGTGCAATTGGCTGTATAGTACTCTGATCCACCAATCAAATGTAAAATGTACAAACAAACAAAACACTGCCGTCAGTTGGATTGTCATACTGGCAATGTTTCCACTTTTCAAAGCTATATTTTGTACTTGTGAATATTTAATCAACACTGACTAATATCTTCTAGGTTTAAAGGCTGTCTGCAGACAACTGAAGATGATTTTTCTTTGTCCACTGACCTCACATAACGATTCAGGCATTGATTTTTGACACCTATGTAAATCTTGTTTTTGCAATATACTATTACCCAAACACAGAATGTCTAAAATCACTCAGCCAGTAGGAACACAAATATTAGGCTTGGATGTCCATAACCAGTTTGTAATTTTTGAAAACCACTAAATGAAAATGAAATAAAAATGATTTAATCTATTTCTTTTTGCCTGATTTTTCTGTCTCTGATGGATGTTTTCATTTTTCTCAGTTTTGATAGAAGAATATATGCTGTGTAAGCGATTTATGCTGACCGAAGAGGTTTTTTTCCAAGTATTGATCCCTGAAAGCTAGAATAAAGTTAATTTAGTAAGAGCCACCATGACAGTAAACATGACAGTGAGATTGAAATTTAACATTTTAGAAAAGTTCCAATGTCTTTTTCAGATTGCTTTTTTAAGTTTAATGAAGAGTCATGAGAGGTAAAAGGTTTCAGCGTTTCTGTAATATAGTTTCGAGGTGGGAATGTTGAGGCTCACAATAGAAACTTAGTTGAAGCATTTTCACGCTTTTTTTAACTTCTCTTAAGACCCATGTGTAAAAGATACACAAAAGAAAAGTTTTGTATATGTGTTCCCAGAATGTTATCTTTCACACTACCTTGTTTTCTTATGGTATTTCTTGACAAATTACTTAGGGATATTTCAAATGTTTGATTTATACTAATGTTTTCTTTGATATTTTTGTGCACATACTAACGTGCCATGGTGCCATAGGACACCTCGGACAGGTTTGTATGCACTACGTTCTTCCTTCACCCGTGAATATCGTATTTGACGTAATAAGCGCCCAGCTCTAATAAGCGCCCACGGCAACATTTGCTAATATATTGGCTAGTGAACAATCCAATTAGCACCCCTTCCAATTGATCAAAGTACACAAGACTTATTATTTCGCATATAATACGCACTCGTGTGATATGCACCCTTAATTATGGGCAATTAAATTCTGGAAAAAATATATCTGTCGTACATAAACATTTCAGGCTGTCAGAATAAAGCACGAAATTTATCTTTCAACTCTGTTTTTCCCCCCAAAATAATATTCTAATATGAGCCCCCTATTCCTAATTTTGAGAGCGCCCTGGGCGCTTATTACGTCGAATACGGTAGCTACAGCCACTTTGTGAGGTTGCTATTTTTAACCAACGAATCAAATCACTGCGTTGTTCCTGTGCGGAGGAAGCCTGGGAGTGCTCTGACCAATGAGTGTTGGATTACATCTAACACACAACAATATGTCTCGTGCACCATGTGCCACAATTTTGGGATTGTCTACAACATTTGGTTTTCAAAAGATGGGGATCCGGACCCCCTGGACCCTCCCTCTGGATCCGCCTCTGGATCCGCCTATGGCTGTGTGTATTACACGGATAAAGGAGGAACATAGTGTATATGTAAGGGTGAATATCATCCTACCCTATTTTTTATCCCGGGGATGAAATTCTCTATTGGCAGGATGATTCTCCCTAGTGAATTTGAACCCATACCAGTGTGTTTAATCCTATACTATACTCTTAGAGTAAAACTTCCCCCGAGATAATATTTAGGTAGGATATAATCCTTGCTTACATATACACACCTATGAAGTAGAAGTATTGACAATGCATAGGGCAGAGATACCTGCTGAGCCTTCTGAGACGTAATCTTTATCACTAATTGGTTAATAATATTCAAACATGTGATGTCATTCCAACAATAATTTGACTGTGCTGTTCTTGTTGTGCAGTCAGGATCCACATTTTCTTACAGTGAGTGAGTGAGTAGAGTTCGGTGCCACTTTGAACAGTATTTTCACAGCATATCAGCTTAATGTGTGAGGAAAGCCTAGGTAATGCATGTTTCAGATGTTTACCATTTAGCAGAAACCCACAAGCACGGGTATGGTGCTGGCAAACCTAGAAACATAATCAGGGGAACTCTGATTCGAACCCACGGTCACAGGTTTCTGGTGTGTCCAAGAGACACAACTCACACAGCAAATTACTTCACCCAAGACAACTAGACCCGATGTACCCCCCCCACCCCCCCCCCCCCCCCCACACACACACACCTTCTTCCCAAAAAGACTGTGTAATATATAGATTTACGACTCCCAACACAGAATTCCAGATTATCTGTCTGTCATGAAAAGATCTGTGAAAAAATGTGCAAGTGTGAAAAAAATGACCTACCAAGGCTCTCTTGGGTCACGTCATCAGTGATACATTGTAAGATATTCTCTACAGTAAATAGCATAAGAATCTGTTATGAGCCCCAGGAGATAAAACATGGGGGATTCAAGTCTGGTGTTTGCTGTTTCCTTAGATGCAAGGAGACGTTTAGTTGAGAAGTTAGCTTATATATATTGATCATGTCCCGGCATCCGTTTCAGACTTAGCACTGAAATCCCAGATGACACGTATAATACAAGGTTGATGATGCAACCCTAATTCATCCATGGACGATGTTACTCTATTATTGATGTTTAAGAGAACTCACCCAACCAGTACGTCATATATATGAATTAAAGGGACACTTCACTTGGGCCAATTGGCAGGCCTAGCAAATTTGATCAAATCATATTTTGTTTGTCTATCTCATTTGTTATGGTGCATATCGATCCAGTTATTGATGAATGCCCAAATTAGACAAAGAAAAGTCACAAATTACAATATCTAGACCAAAACTGAAAGCCTGTTGCCCCTGTAACCATGATTTGTACAGTGCAATGTACGTATGTACAAGGCGATTTAGTATGTAAAAGAGTGTTGCATTTAATACCCAAGTCGTGAATGAAGTGACTTGGCCGAAGTGGTCGTTAACATGTTAGGTGTCTGATCTCCGTCCCTTCCCCCATTTATGCTTTTCATCAGCTCAACTGATGGGTTTGAAAGTAGACAATCACGTACTGCCTAGGGCCAACGACCTTATGCGCCCCTGTATCTTGTCTTTATTCACAGTATTTAACTTTTTCCAAGGTATTTTTAAAATATAGACTATTAATCTAACTTTTCAATTGAAAAAGAAAGGTTTCAGTGTGAATTGAATTGCGCTGCGCACACGTGAATGACTGCACCATATTCACACTTTACTATAGAGGCGACTATGCTTGTCGTAAGAGGCGACTAACGGAATCAGGTGGTCAGGCTCGCTGACTCGGATGATGCCTGTCATCGTATCCCATTCTCTACATTAACAGTTGGTCATAAAAGTACATTCATTATTTTTAATTTTTACAATCATTTTGTCCTCATATCGATAAAATTGTTCTTCAATAAGTAAACACCATGATGTCAGTGTGCTGATGGTTTTGCAGATGGATAAAAACGTGCCAAATTTACCTTCAATTTACCTTCAATTTCCCTGTCATGTCATTCATATAATAATCAAAGCACGTGACAAATTTTCATTCACATGAAAAAATTTAGAGATTGGAAATGAATACAGTGCCAGAGTACCTGTGCCCATTTATTATATAACCAAATGATTTGCAGCCATGTTTGTTTATACAAACAGATCAGAAAGTCCTTATCTAAACTTACTAGGAAAGTTAAAAGTTTTTTGAACAAACATAGAGTTTATTGAAAGTAATTCGTACTAGGTGACCTCAGTTACGTCTTATTGGATCATGATACCAAGTTGGATCCTAGATTGGTTACCGATAACACTGGCCTTTGAACGTTAAGTGTTCCTTTTCCTGTGTTGAATAATCTGTGTTTCCTCACAGAGCTACCAAACAAATGCATCCCATTTTAAGCTGATCCCTTACTTCTTACCATCAGTATATCTTTAAAACAATGAATTGACTGATAGCAGGGTCCTCACTTCTTGTCCTGAGTTCTTATCTGTTGAATATCCTCAAGGCCATAAGATGCTGAGAGTGGTCTCCCTTTGAGAAACTTGCAACATGGCTGCTCATTGAACATGAATAAAAAAGATAAATATTTCAGTATGGGTCTTCAGTCTTTGTTTCGCAACTTGCATTTTTATTGATGTAAAATATGTCCTATTGGACATGATGTTGACTCGTTGCCCTTTGTTTTAGTATGACCGGGGTCATCATGGGGAAATCGATGTGGAGGATTTCCGTCGTCTCCTCCAACATCCACAGATACAAGCAGAGATGGACAGGCACACACTGGAAGTGTTGGAGGTCAAGGCCACCGACCCAACACGCAAGATGATCAGTTACCAGGAGTTTGTCAACATTGTAAGTATATAGCAGGAACAGTTGCCAGGAATTGTCAACATTGTGAATATATAGTAGGAACAGTTGCCAGGAATTGTCAACATTGTAAGTTTATAGAGGAAGTTACCAGGAATTGTCAACATTGTAAGCATATAGCGGGAACAGTTGTCAGGAATTGTCGACATTGTAAGTATATAGAGGAAGTTACCAGGAATTGTCAACATTGTATGTTTATGGCAGGAACAGTTGTCAGGAATTGTCAACATTGTAAGCATATAGCAGGAACAGTTGCCAGGAATTGTCAACATTGTAAGTTTATAGCAGGAACAGTTGCCAGGAATTGTCAACATTGTAAGTATATAGCAGGAACAGTTCCCAGGAATTGTCAACATTGTAAGTTTATAGAGGAAGTTACCAGGAATTGTCAACATTGTAAGCATATAGCAGGAACAGTTGCCAGGAATTGTCAACATTGTAAGCATATAGCAGGAACAGTTGCCAGGAATTGTCAACATTGTAGGTATATAGCAGGAACAGTTGCCAGGAATTGTCAACACTGTAAGTATATAGAGGAAGTTACCAGGAATTGTCAACATTGTAAGTTTATAGCAGGAACAGCTGTCAGCAATTGTCAAAACTGTAAGTATATAGAGAAAGTTCCCAGGAAATGTCAACATTGTATGTTTATGGCAGGAACAGTTGCCAGGAATTGTCAACATTGTAAGTATATAGCAGGAACAGTTGTCAGGAATTGTCGACATTGTAAGTATATAGAGAAAGTTCCCAGGAAATGTCAACATTGTATGTTTATGGCAGGAACAGTTGCCAGGAATTGTCAACATTGTAAGTATATAGCAGGAACAGTTGCCAGGAATTGTCAACATTGTAAGTATATAGCAGGAACAGTTGCCAGGAATTGTCAACATTGTAAGTATATAGCAGGAACAGTTGCCAGGAATTGTCAACATTGTAAGTATATAGCAGGAACAGTTGCCAGGAATTGTCAACATTGTAAGTATTTAGCAGGAACAGCTTCCAGGAATTGTCAACACTGTAAGTATATAGCAGGAAAACGTAACAGGAATTGTCAACATTATGTGTTTATGGCAGGATCATCCATTTTGTGAACACCAGGCGGCATCACTGTATGACTGTTAGTTTTGAAAGAAGGTTGGTAAATTTGTTCTGTTGAGGGTTGTTTCTTTGATTTGTTTTATTACTCTGCTTGAAATGTTAATGCAGTTTTGTTGTATCTAATCTTCTGATATTCATGTTTGCGTATTCTTGTTTACCCTTTAAAAATGACTTTTAAAACTTAAAGGGCAAGTTCACACGGAAATTAACCTATTTTTCTTGTACTTTTTCCACTTTAAAAGTGTTAACCTAGAAGTGTCATAGACAAAAATATAAAAATATCACAATTAATTAACATATTTTTCGCATTAAAACGATTTATATTTTTCACATTTACCAAGTGTTCTATTTCCACAACAAAAACACCATGGCTTATGCCCCTTGCAATATGACGTCATTGGTGCCAATTGATAAACATTATGACGTCATCATGCTTTGTTAGAGCCGCTTCACGTGGTGTAGGTCTAGGTGTGTGATTCTAGCGTCTCAGATGCCAGCCAGCATAGTGTTATGCTGAGTCACCACTGCGCCGGAGTGTGTCGTAGGCCATGTTGTTTTACCGCAAACTGGTACTTGATATCTTTTGCGTTGAGAATAGACAGGGACCCAGTTGAATTGGCACCAATTACGTCATAATCTAAGGGGGATAACTCAGGCCTGTTTAGCTCGAAAAGCGAAGGCCTCATAACGGCATATCATTTTCACACTATTGTGAGCTTCCTACTTTCACTGTGAAAAAAATGAGTGTATATTTTCAAACACAGATACTAATTAATTCTAAAATTGCGTTTTGTTTTGAAAAAGAAAGAAAGTGATTTTTGCGTGTACACTTCCCCTTTAAGGTTGCAATTCCAGAAGAAATCAGGTGAGCTACAGCGTATGTAGCCCTATGTGTATCTTGTGACAAAGACATGACCATGACTTGCCCCAAGGACTTCACCATTTAGAAATTTCAATTTCAATTTCTTTATTCAGTATAAAGGCCACAGGCCCATGTACAGATAAATATTGACATATATAGAATATACATATTGGTGCAACATTAAACAAGTATTACAAATGGGATGAACGTAATACAATAGCCTCTTTAATATATTTACATCATTGAAGTAAATCAGTTAGCTTGACTGAGCTTATATGCTTAAAAAACTTAGATTTACAATATATATTTGGAATGTGTTTCTGTCTGATATCATCATATAATGGACATGATAGCATAAAATGTAATTCAGTTTCAATGATGTTCTTACAAAAAGGACAAAATCTAAAATTAAAATCAATATTACTTTTTCTTCCAATATTCACCATGACATTTAATTCTCCAATTCTTAATACTGATAACATTTTTTTAGTTCTTTACAAGTGATTTTTAAAATATATGGTTCAATAACAAATGCTGTTTTGAGTGACGAATAAAATTCTAAATGTTTATAATCATTAACTTGTGAATGCCATGTTTGTATATAACTGCTAGAAATGTAGCAGTGTTAAGAATTCACAAAAATTCCACCTGGACAACCAAACTCAATAAATTGCAAACCTGGTTTAAAAGTTTCCAATCCAGGGTTTTGTTACGTTAGACTGAACAATAATAGCTCAAGTCGATAACACTAAGTTTCATGAGCTGATCTTCATTGATCTATGTGGAATAATTATTGCAACTCTTCTGTGACATATTAATATCAGGTCATTATTTAAATGCCACTCATGAAAGTTGATATATTTACATTATTAACTAAATCTACAAAAAATATAATCAGCGAGACCATCAGACATGCATATTTCAAAAGATGTCCATCCATGACGAAAACAGCCTATCTTGGACAATCAGGCTTCATAAAGTACCAACCGGGCCATTGAAAGCCAACTGCCAACTTGTGAATTTGCCTGCTTGCCTACATTCCTACTTAACTACTTGCCTATCTGCCTACTTGCCTGCAGACCGCCTCCGTGGTCTTGTGGTAGAGCGTCCGCCCGGAGAGCGGAAGGTCCAGGGTTCAATCCCGGGCCGCGTCATACAAAAAGACGTTAAAAGATTGTACTTGTTGTTACCCTGTCTGGTGCTCGGCATTAAGGGGCTAAAACAAGGACTGGTCGGCTCGGAGTCAGTATACTGTGTCTGAGTGGGGTATTCATGTTAAACTGCGGCATGGTATCTCAGTGAGCTAGCACTATAAATCGGCATCAGTCCGGACTAGTACAAGCAGCCACACACACAAATACACGTGCACGCACGTCGCTATATAAGTGCATAAACTTGGACGCGACGTTAAACCCTATTTCACCTCACCTACTTGCCTACATGCCATGTCATGGCTACTTGCCTACTTGCTCGCCTACACCTGACCTGACTGTAATAATAGGCTGTTGCACTCAACTTGCATTCAATCATCAATTTATTTTATTTCTTTCAAGACCATATACATAAATACACTTATATAAAAGTATGAATCTAAAAGCTTTTTGATAATTTGTACATAAAACAACTATTGATATCCTGTGTGCAAATAGCTAGCTTCAGACACAAAACTCATTGCATTAAAAGGGTAGACATTTGTAGTACACATCGCAATCACTTGATCCTCGTTAGTCGTACAGGGGACCCATTCTACTTGGGAATCCCAACGGGGGTTAACCAACTGAAATGACAGATAGTTCCCCGAAATAGAAGTCCCAGAGACAGATGATGCAGATAGGGCAGATAGGGCAGATGCCAGTTCGAGCCATGTCGTTTTCGTTTTGTTAGCCCTCCTGGTCAAAGGCTGAACGTTATTGTGACATGTGAACATTATTTTGACATGTCTTCCCAAACCCCTAAATCATAGGGAGTGAGTTGGGTTTAACGCCACTTTTAACAATATTCCAGTTATATCACGGCATGTCAGGTTAAAGTAGGAGGAAAGCCTGAAGTGATGCAGGCCTACGACGTTTACCACTTCGGTGAAACCCACGAGCACGGGTATGGTGCTGACAAACCTAGAAACATAATCGGGGCGAACCGGGATTTGAACCCACAATCATAGGTTTCTGGCATGCCCAAGGGACGCAACTCTGCACAGCGAATCACGGCGCCTTAGACGACGGCCACCCATGCCCCCTCATGGGGAGTGAAAGTTTGCATTATTAATGTAGTCAAACATGTCTCTAACAGGGGTTCAAACTCTTCCAACCTGAAACTCTAAATGATTGCAATGATAGCCATGTTGGAAATGAATCCTTTGACACCTCACAGACATAAGGCATGTATCGTAGCCCTCATTTCAGTATAATTATTTAAAAAATGCACTATGATAATATTATTGAATATTCTTGAGCAAGATTTGTATGGCACTCTTTGAAATCTTTGTAGAAAGAGCATGCTCGATTGCACCTCAAAAGTTATGAAATGTAGACACCGTTTTGAGTTTCAAACATTGTCTAGCTTCTTCAATGTAATAATACAGCTCCTAACAGTGAAAAAGACTGAACATATATCCTACAGCCAGTGGAGAAATGGACTGATATCAGATTGCAGACACTTATTATCCATGTTGAAAGGTTAATAACTTAGGAGTAACCATCTTCCTGAGGCCAGGGAGTTAACTTACTTTAAAAGTCCAGTTTTCACCCTTGCTGAGCTAGGCTGGTATTATGGAGTTACATTTTGGCTGGACTAATGAGTCTATGCATGGTCCAATCAAAATCGGGGATCGATGTTAGTTGGTGGAATTACAGAATATTAGGTGTGGAAGGGGTATACCCTCTGTATGCCCTCTTGAAGTGTCAGTGGGCATGTCCTATAGTATACTTAGTGAGGGTTGTGTGTCTGTCTGTGGTTGTGTGTCTCGCTGTGGTTGTGTCTGACTGTGTTTGTGTGTCTCGATGTGGTTGTGTGTCTGTGGTAGTGT